TACTCCAGCAGTGCTTATCATTTGAGTCCTACAATAAAGCCAAGTACAAAATGTCATTCACCGGAACGTGATCACCACTGATCTGACCGAGGCCTGGAGCGATCACTAGAAGAGTGAGTGGTTTAAAGATCCATTCTGTGGGGAGCATATAGCAGTATATACAATGAATATTTCAGTGTGTGAAGGAAACTCAACAACAGCCTATCATTAATGGTGCTATTTAAACATGATTAGTTATGTTCATATAAAAATATTTTGATAGTTTTACATAAATATTCTAAAGTGAAAGATCACTATTTTATCTATTTACATAAAAATTTAAAAATCTGATATTCTATTGATTTCTACACCAATTTTAAAATCTAATTAATAAGTTAAATTTATTAACTAATTAATAAAATATTGGTTTTTTTGTTGTTAGTTCATGTTTATTAACCCATATACAATTCCTTGTCTGCTGGTTTGTTGAAGCAACAGGTCAGACAACATTTGCCACAAGGATGTCTGTCAAAGTGGCCGGCCATGAACACTCCGCACCACGTTCTTCTGAGGGGCACTCCCGATGACTTACACATCGGCATGGTTGCTCAACCCCAGAATGTCCCCAAAATGTTTCACAATTTCTCACCTATGAAACTACAATAAGCAGACCAAATCTTTTTTTAAAAATTCAGGATTTGTTTTCAACTCTCTTCCTATACCCATATACTGCCTTAGTGCCCAAGTCTGGTGGGCATATAGTTAAATATTGTGTTAATAAATTACTTGGATTAATTTTTTTCTTTCTCTGTGGGTATCGTATGTATATATTTGAAATTACATTAGATTTGTTTGTTTCGATTTGCTTTCGTTTTTCATTTTTTTCCTTGATTTAGTTTTTTAGTTTGTAGATTAATCAAAAGTCAAAACTCTGCAAAGTAAAACTCAGTGTCACTCTCCTGTATACTTTAAAAAAAAAAGTTCTTATTGATTTTAGAGAGACAGGCATCAATGATGAAAATTATCAGATGCCTCTTGCACGCCCCCTACTGGGGATCCAGCCCACAACATGGAAATGTGCCCTGACCAGGAATTGTAAATGGTTTGACATTCAATCACTGAGCCTCAGGGGCCAGGCTCTCCTCCACTGGGAAGGGCTTTTTTTATGTTTGGTTTCATTTTCAATATCTAGTATTAATTGCATAATGAATAGAGAATATTGTTTATAATATTTCTATTTTATGGAAACTACTGATGTATTCTTTATACTTATAGTTTTTGTGAACAGTTCATGTGCACTTAAGATATATTATTCTCAGGGTATAGTGTATATGTATGTAGAAGATTTAACTTTTAATTTTCATTTAACTCTTTTATATTTTTGCTTAATTTTTGTCCACTTAACCTGTTTTATAAGAATGGTGTTTTAAAATCTCTAAGGCTGTTTTCTTATTGTATCTCCTATAGATTTTGTTTTATGTAGATGGCTTGTGGTTTTATTTGTTGCATAGATACTCTGAGCTATCATATCTTCATTATGGAGTGTGGTACTTTTATGAAGTGTTCTTTTCTGACACATTTAATTTCAGGAGGTCATTTGCTCTGTTATTAGAGTTACAACTCCTGTTTCCTTATTGTCTTCATTTGCTTGGTAAATCTTTGTCCAACTTTTTACTTTTAGCTTTTTGAATCACTGCAATTTAAGTATCTTATATGTAGTATGGATTTATGTTTTGCTTTATGAGCCATTTTAAATGATTTTTCTAAAAAATAGACAAGTTCCTTCACATTACTGAGAGGACTATTAAATTTGGTCTCAACTCTGTCATATCAAAATTGTGTTTATTTTTAAAATATATTTTTATTGATATCGGAGAGAAAGGGAGAGGGAGAGAGAGATAGAAAGGTCAATTAGAGAGAATCATTGATCACCTGCCTCCTGCACACCCCCTCCTGGGGATTGAGCCCATGACCCAGGCATGTGCTCTTGACTGGAATGGAATCTGCGGCCCTTTAGTCTACAGGCTGATGCTCTATCCACTGAGCAAAACCAGCAAGGGCTTTAATTTTGTTTAAATATATTTTTGTTGATCTCAGAGAGGAAGGGAGAGAGATAGAAACATCAATGATGAGAGAGAAGCATTGATCGGCTGCCTCCTGCACGCCCCACACTGGAAATTGAGCCTACAACCACGGACATGTGCCCTGACCAGGAATGGAACCATGGCTTTCTGGTTCATATGTTGATGCTCAACTACTGAGCAACACCAGACAAGTGACAATGTTTATTAGGTGACATTTACTGTATTTCTTAATTTGTTTATTTTTCTTTGCTTTTGAACATTTCTTTTGATATTCAGGAAGGTGTGTGTTTTATTAGGTTAATACTTCCAATAGTGTCCCTAACCCTTTTTCCTTTTTATTGTGTTGGGATGACATTGGTTAATAACATTATATACGTGTCAGGTGTACAGTTCATCTGTATATTGTATTGTGTGTTCAGCACCCCAAGTCAAGTTTCCATCCATCACCATTTATGCCCATATACCCTCTTCTATTTCCCTAAATCTCCCTTTCCCTCTGGTAATTGCCATACTTTAGTCTGTCTATAAGGGTTTTTTTTCTTTTTTAATCCTTTCACCTTTTTCACCAGTCCTGCAACCCCACTCTCCTCAGACAGCTGTCAGTCTGTTTTTGTTATCCATACTTCCGTCAGTCTATAAGGGTTTTTTCTTTTTTAATCCCTTCACCTTTTTCACCACTCTGCAATCCCACTCTCCTCAGACAGCTGTCAGTCTGTTTTTGTTAGTTTATTTTGTTCATTACACATATGATTGAAATCATATGGTACTTGTTTTTCTCTGACCGGCTTATTTCACTTAGCATAATGCTCTTTTTTCTTTTTACAGCTGAGGAGTATTCCATTGTGTAAATGTATCACAGCTTTTTATCCACTCATCCACTGATGGATATTTGGGCTGTTTCCAGATCTTGGCTATTATAAATAATGCTGCTATGAACATAGGGATGAATATATTCTTTCTGATTGTTGTTTTTGGATTCTTAGGATATATTCCCAGAAGTGGGACTGCTGGGTCATAAGGCAGTTCCATTTTTAATTTTGAGGAAACTCCATAATGTTTTCCAAATGGTGGCACCAATTTGCATACAACCAACAGTGCACAAGCGTTCCCTTTCTCCACATCCTTGCCAACACTGGTTTGCTGCTTTATTGATAGCCATTCTGACAGGTGCGAGTTGATTATCTATCTCATTGTGGATTTAATTTGAATTTCTTTGATTAATGACATTGAGCATCTTTTCATATCTATTGGCCACCTGTATGTCCTCACTGGTGAACATGTTCTCCCCTTCAGTGGGCTTGTCTTTTCATTTTGTTGGTTTCCTTTGCTGTGCAAAATCTTTTTAGTTTATTTTTTTCATTTCCCTTGCCTAAGAAGTTATGTCACAAAAAAAAGTTTGCTAAGAGAAATATCTGATATTTTACTGCCTATGGTTCCTTCTATTTTTTGTGGTTTTGAGTCTTAAATGTCTTTAATACATTTTGAGTTTATTCTTCTTATATAGGGAGTAAAAAGTGGTCTAATTTCATTTTTTGCCTGTATCCAGTTTTCCCAGCACCATTTATTGAAGTGACTAATTTTACCCCATTGTATATTTTTACCTTCTTTGTAAAAAAGTTAACTGACTACATATATATGCTGTGGGCTTATTTCTGGAATCTCTATTCTGTTCATTGATTTATATGTATCCAGTTTTCCCAGCACCATTTATTGAAGCGACTGACTTTACCCCATTGTATATTTTTACCTTCTTTGTCATAGGTTAACTGACTACATATATATGCTGTGTGCTTATTTCTGGAATCTCTATTCTGTTCATTGATTTATGTGTTAGTTTTTATGCCATTTTGGTTACGATAGCCTTACAGTATATTTTGATATCTGGTGACATGACACCTCCAACTTTGCTCTCCTTCTTAAGATTGCTTTGGTTCTTTGTGGTTTTTGTTATTCCATATAAGTTTTAAAATTATTTTTCCTAGGTCTCTGAAAAAAAATGCAATTGGTATTTTTATATGGATTGCATTGAGTCAACACATTGTTTTTGGTATTATGGACATTTAAAAAATGTTTATGCTACATTTATTTTTACCATTTTCAGTTTCTCTCTTGAGTGTCTTAATTTTTTTGAATACAAAACTCCTTGGTTAAACTTATTTCTAGGTATTTTTTGATACAATTGTTTTTTTAAAAAAAAAAGTTTGTTTATTGTAGATTTCCCCTTTGTTCTTTTCCCCACTGACACCCTCCCGTCTGTGTCCATGGGCTAGGCACATAAATCCTTTGGTTAATCTCTTCTCATCCAACCCTGCCTTCCCACTGAGATTCAACCGTCTGTTGTTGTTAATCCTCACCTGAGGATATTTTTAGGAAGAGTGGAAGGGAGAGAGACATCCATTAGTCGCCTCCTGCACACCCAGACCAGGGCTGGGGAACCTGCAACCAAGGTGCATGCCTTTGACCGGAATCGAACCTGGGACCCTTCAGTCCACGAGTTGAAGCTTTATCCACTGAGTCAAACTGGCTAGGGCAATGCTTCTATGTCTGTGGATCTATTTTGTTCATCAGCTTCCACATATGAAAGAGATTAAATTTAAAATAGTTCACGTCTGCATGTAGAGCAGTGAACTATTTTAAATTTAATCTTGGCCACTACTCATTTTAGAAAATAGGGTATACCTAGAGTTGGAAAGGGCTCATCATGGTCCATGATTTGCTGCAGAACCTAAACTTAAAAAATTTAACAGCTATAATACCTAAAATAATTCTGCACCAATTACTTTTGTTGCATTGATATTAAAAGCAGCTGAAAATAATTTTAGTAAAGAAATGTAATTTGGATGGTACCCTAATGTAGCACATTTTAAAAACAAAAGTGACAAAAGTATTTCAAGAGTGAGGAGGACAAATAAATTAGAAGAAACATGTTTAATTTACCCCTTTTGTTCCTCTGCGAAGACATTTGTACACACAGGTGCAAATTACTGCAATGCCAACAACTATAAGAAACCAGAAAACAAATGACATGTAACTCTCAAAAATAATATCTAAGTTTCAAATTCTAGCAAAATAAATTACTGTCGGTTACAGTAATTTACTGTCAGAAATATACTTAAGCACATATACGTTCATATTCCATCTGGACTCTTCCCTATCTAAATGCAGTTCCCTGGAATCACTTTCAGCGGTTCTCAACCTGTGGGTCGCGACCCTTTCACAGGGGTCACCTAAGACCATCGGAAAACACATATATAATTACATATTGTTTTTGTGATTAATCACTATGCTTTAATTATGTTTAATTTGTAACAATGAAATTGGGGGTCACCACAACTTGAGGAACTGTATTAAAGGGTCGCGTCATTAGGAAGGTTGAGAACCACTGAATAATCCATGGTAAGTCAGAAAAGTGTCTGGTTTAGTTTAGAAAATTACCTGAAGAACACTTGAGATTAAAAGTCATATAACTAATTATCTTGAAAAATAATTAGGGTTTGTTATTAAGTGGACATATAGAATATAAATGAATGTACAGTCACCAACAAAAGGTGCATATCATATGGAAAGGTCAGTTTTTTTCTACTCTGGTTTGTTTCATTTCAAGCTATAAACACTAGAGAAACTAGAAAGTCATTAGAAAAGAAAGCACAGTAATATTTTAAGTGGTATTCATGTTTGAGATACTTACGTATAGTGAGAATAATTAGAGCAATGATTCCTGGATCTGAGAAGAAATGAACAGTAGTTTTAAAGATACTGAACATGTATGGGTCCCAGATAGCAGTTTCATTTTACTTTTGATTTGATCATCTAAAAACTACAGCAAAAAAAGTATCATTTTAGTTTTAGCATGACTGCTAGTACATCCAAATCCTTTTGATTACAGAACACTTCAAATAGATTCTGGCTATAGGATGTGTCTTGTGAAAACCTTAATAGGTACCTCACTTGTCATTGTTTTGTGCTGTACTTACCACACCAGGTTAAAGATTAATAGGACAATTAAAATTCTCAAGATTAGAGAAAATTACACACATGTCTCTACACATACTATTGCTATAAATGTCAATTATTACTAATCATTTTTGACATCTTTTTTCCCCTAACCTGAAATAATTGGAACATAATATATTTATGTAGGACTCTAAGGTCTCATGATAAATACCTATTTCTAAAATCTCTTCAATTGGTGGTGATTCAAGAGGCTTGGGATAGCCTAGAAAAAAAAATGGAAATAATTTTTAAAAAGACTAAATAAAGCTTACAGATCTATAACTTCATTGATTTTTTTAACATTTGTATAAAAGTGCTTATAATTTCCTTATAAATTTTTTATTAAAGATAGAATTATAAAATATTCAAAGTTTATACTAAATGTCAGCAAACTTTTCCCTATGCACTGAAATTTCCTGTGACAATACTGTGTGGAATAGCAAGCAAGTTTATCATTACTGTATTCTCAAATTAGCCTTGAATGAAATATGATTCTACCTAAAATTTTTAAAGGAGGAATTAAAAATTAGAAGTTGATTTGGAATAGAAACATTAATATAATAAAGGCCATTTATTTAAAAAAAGAACAACACCCATAGTTAGCATCATAGTCAATGGTGAAATACGGACAGTTTTCTCTAAGATCTAGAACAGCGGTTCTCAACCTGTGGGTCGCGACCCCTTTGGCGGTCGAACGACCCTTTCACAGGGGTCGCCTAAGACCATCCTGCATATCAGATATTTACATTAGGATTCATAACAGTAGCAACATTACAGTTATGAAGTAGCAACAAAAATAATTTTATGGTTGGGTCACAACATGAGGAACTGTATTTAAAGGGCCAGAAGGTTGAGAACCACTGATCTAGAACAAGATAGAATGCCCACATTTGCCACTTCTATTCAACATAATATTGGAAGTTTGGGTCAGAGTAATTAGGTAAAAAATAAAATTATCTCTCAGATGACATGATCTTTTATGTAAAAAACTCTAAAAATTACATACCCACAAGCTGATAAAACTAATGAATGAATTTGGCAAAATTGTAGGCTATAAAATCAACATGCAAAAATCAGTTGCATTTACATGCACTAAAATGATTTCTTGGATGTGGCATCAAAAGCATAGGCAACAAACAAAAAATAAACTGGGTATCATCAAAACTAAAAACTTTTGTGCATCAAAAAACACTATCAATAGTGAAAAGGCCACCCACAGAATGGAAGAAAACAGCTTCAACTCATATACTTGGTAAGGGATTAATTCCCAAAATACATACTGAACTCCTAACTATCAATAACAAAAATCCCAACCCAATTCAAAACTGAGCAAAGGACTTGAATGACATTTCTCCACAGAATAGATACAAATAGGGAATAAGTGCACAAAAAGATGTGTCCACATCACTAATCAAGGAGGAAATGCAAACAAAATCCTCCGTGAGATACTGCTTCACATGTTTTACCTACCAGGTATTAGGATGGCTATTACAAAAAACCATCAGAAAAGAACATGTGTTGGCAAAGAGGTGGAGACATTAGAACCTTTGTGCATTGCTGATGGGGATATAAAATGGTGCATCTTCTGTGGAAGTATGGTTGTTCCATAAAATGAAACACAGAATTATCATAAAACCCAGCAATTCTACTCCTAGCCATATGCCCTCAAAATTGAAAACAGGGACTCAGGCAGATACTTGAATGACAATATTCAGGAAAGAATATTCATAATAGCCAGAAGGTAGAAACAACCCAAGTATCCATTAACAGATGAATGGGTAAACAAAATATGGTATATATAAACAATGGAATATTTTCAGCCACAAAAAGAAATAAAGTTCAGATACATGCTACTCTCAGGTGCATGAACTTGAAAACATTATGCTCTATGACATAAGCCATACAGAAAAGACAAACGTAAAGTTCCACTTGTGAGTTACCTAGCATGTCAAATTCAGAGAGACAGGAATTAGAATAGAAGTTACTGGGGCAGGGAGGAGGGATATGAATGGGGAGTTACTATTTAATGGGTCTAAAGCAGTGATGGCAAACCTTTTGAGCTCGGCATGTCAGCATTTTGAAAAACCCTAACTTAACTCTGGTGCCATGTCACATATAGAAATTTTTTGATATTTGTAACCATAGTAAAACAAAGACTTATATTTTTGATATTTTATATATTTAAATGCCATTTAACAAAGAAAAATCAACCAAAAAAATGAGTTCGTGTGTCACCTCTGACACGCGTGTCATAGGTTCGCCATCACTGGCTAAAGTTTCAGTTTGGAAAGGAAAAATTTGGGTGGTTGCCCAACAGTGCGAATGTATTTAATCCCACTGAATTGTACACTTAGAATGGTTGAAATGGTAAAAAATAAAATAAATTTTGATCTGGAAAAATCAACATGAGAGTAGCCTGCTTACTTCTAAACAGGAGGCGTTCTGCCAGATATTAAAACATATTATAGTACTACATTTAAAAAAACCCAGTTGATGTTAGTACAGGAATAGAGTTAAGGGAACAGAAAGGAGGCTAGAACACCTATGAGTTTAGTGCATGATAAAACAGTTGGAGAGAAGACAATTTATTCCATAGATGGTGATACTTAGCCACTGAATTGGGGTGGGTAGAGTGGAGAACATAATCTAATTCCACATTCCATAATGAATTTCAGATATACCAGTGATTTAAATGTAAAGAATGCAATCAGAATGATTAAAATGCTTATATAATTTGAAGACTTAAAGCTTTTATAAGAAAGACAACACTCATAGCCATTAGTGAAAAGATCAATACATTCAACTGCCTATTAATATAAAACTTTTGCACATATAACGGACTATTATAGGAGAATAGTTATTTAAAATATGGTGTATATTAAAGTTGTCTTTAAAAAAGGATGGGGATAAATCTAAATACAATCCCAATCTAAGATAGTAAGTGTAAAATGTGAGAGTTTTAGAAAAGTATGAACAATGTGATTCTATTTCTAGTTAAGAAAAAAATGCCCAGATATGTATAACAATATAAGGATATGATGTATTCTTCTACATTAGAAATGAATAAAAATATACCTAAATTACTAACAATGACAATGAACTAGAAAAAGAGATGAACTAATTTTTTGCTCTGTATATTTTTGTAATGTTTGAAAATATACAAAATACATTTGTAGACTACTCATGTAACAAAAGATATAAAAAGGAATCTATATCCAATAATATAGTATAAAAATATTAAAACGAACTAGTAAAATTACTAGTAAAATTTACCACACTAGTAAAATTAAGGTTAAAAAAACCTGGAAAAATATTCACTATATATTAAAAGGTCTTTAACTTGTAATGAGCTCTCACAATCAACAACAAAAAACATTTTAGAAACCTAACAGAAAACTGAGCAAAGGCCATGAATAAATAAATGTAGACAAAAAAAGGTTCAGCCTCATTAATAAAGAAATGCAAATTAAAAGAAGATAATACTTTTCACCATCAGCATACAAAGTTCTTAACAATAGAAGTAGGATAAAGAGTTACTGAACCTGGATATCTTGAAAGTGGAGGTTTGGTTGGATAAGTAGGCTTGAAACCTGGAAAAATAAATTTTATTCCATTCATCAGTTAATAAAAATATGGATTTGATTTTTTTAAATTCTCACCTGGGGATATTTTTTCCATTGATTTCCAGAGAGAGTGAAAGGGAATGAGGAGGGGGAGAAAAAGAGAAACATGGATTGGTTGCCTCCTGCACACGCCCCTATCAGGGCTAAGGAACCTGTAACCACTGTAGCTGCCCTTGATTGGGAATTGAACTCATGACCCTTCGATCCCAGGGCTGACCCTCTGACCACTGAGCAAAACCACTCAGGGCTGATTTTTTTTATTTTCCAGAAAGATTAATTATTCCTCAAAGTTAAAAATATGGATACTTTCCAAACTATGGGTTTCTACTTCTGAGAATATGACCTAAATATATTTATACAGGTACATACATAAAAAAGTTCACTACTATTTTCTATTTTATAATGAAAACCTTAGAAGTTAACTAAAAACAAATCATAAAAATATTGTGTTCAGAGTAAACATGTATTTAAAATATACCATCTAGGTAGTATCAAACCAAATAATTTGTATGTTTTTTTCTTCTGCTTAATATTTCTTGAACATTTTTTTCATAGCACAATCCTTTATCACCATGATATGTTGCTATTGGTTCTTTTTTATAGTTTTCTCTAATAATAAAAATTGATTAATAATACCATGGGGAGTTATGATTTCTAAAAAAAAAAATCCTTGTCATTTTTCTCTTCATACGCTTTTTCTCACATCAATTCTCTCCTCTTCTTTCAAACATTAAACTATATGTGTTTTATAAGTCCTTTATGAGTTATCATGGTCAACTCTTTCAAAAGAGCATATCAACAAACACAGCATCCCACAGTACACATACCCACTAGGACCATGCAGGTAAACATGGATGGGTCAATGAGATAAACTTCACATGCAATCTTATATATCAATCCACCCCAAAACCATCTCTTTCCCACCCCCCAACCTCACAGCACTCAACTAAGATACTCAAGGAGACTACCAGGTGCCAGGTATACAGGAATTATAAAAAGGTGTTCTAATTACCATGTTAACATGTATAATTCCCCTCAATTCTTTAAAGTCTTAGGACAACAGAAAATAAGCAAATTAGAAGCCAGTGATTGAGATTTGTGTTCAACACCCTCTTTAAACAATAGGAAATTAAAGTCCACAGAAATGATGTTCCATGAGTAAGTGGAACCAAATTAGGGCCTTGCGTGAGGTCAGCCCAGGCTAATGCTTTCCCCACTATTCCTCTCTCTTGCTTTTCCTGAAACCAAAGCGAAGCCAGAGATAGCAGCACTGGAATCAGGAAGACAACTCCTTCCACCACATGAAAATAATCTCTCAAGTCGTAGGCTGAGTGGTTGAGTAGTCCCTGGAAGAAATCCTCCATTTCATTTCTATACATAATGACTTTTCCTGCCTTTAAGTTGGAATGAAATTTAGTTTCTGTTACCAAAGAGAAATGCCCAGTAAAGAGAAAAAGAATAATCGTATGAGGTAGTATAAACACCAGTCTTGTTCTAGAGACAACAGAAATTTCCCAGTTCAAATTGTACTGTATAAAAAGAACTTGCAGTCTGGGAATGACACACAGTCCTGGACCAAGAAGATATCTTTAAATGTGGCAAATGAATTAAAATAGCAAAGTTAGCCCAGCTTCCGTGGCTCAGTGTTGAGTGTTGACCTATGAACCAGGAGGTCACGGCTCGATTCCTGGTCAGGGCACATACCCGGGTTGCAGGCTCAATCCCCAGTGTGGGGCATGCAGGAGGCAGGGATCAGTGATTCTCTCTCATCATTGATGTTTCTCTCTCTCTCCCCTACTCCCTTCCTCTCTGAAATCAATAAAAATATATTAAAAATAAATAGCAAAATTGGTGACACAAAAAGCATACATGTTAGAAAACAAACGCCACAGATCTTCCTCTTCACTAATATCAATTAAGTCATATATGAACTTCCTTTAAGAGGCTACCAAATGCCAGGCATTAATGCTAAGTGGTTTAAGTGCAACCAATTTAAGCTGTATTATCACCCAGTTAGGAAGGCATTAAGTCATTTTACATGTAAGCAAATACATTAGAAATTTAAATAACTTGCCCAAGTATACATACCCGTTTATATCTGTGGAATATGGCAAATAATTTTAGAATCAGTAAAAATAATCAAAATGGCTATAAATATGTTCTTTCTCCTTTTACTAAAAGTGATGAATGAGTGTTAACATGAAGTCAAACAATTTTTGTAAAATATAAATATGACATAAATAGGTTATGACATTGAAAAACATAATGTAGGATCAATCAATTGAAAATGATCACTTTTCATTTATATAAATTATGACTTCTGCCCTAACCGGTTTGGCTCAGTGGATACAGCGTCGGCCTACAGACTGAAGGGTCCTAGGTTCGGTTCCGATCAAGCGCATGTACCTTGGTTGCGTGTACCAGTATGGGGTGAGCAGGAGGCAGCTGATCGATGTTTCTCTCTCATCGATGTTTCTAACTCTCTATCCCTCTCCCTTCCTCTCTGTAAAAAATCAATAAAATATATTAAAAAAATAAATTATGACTTCCATTCTTATTTAGGTAAAAATTCCCATAATTCATTAAATTTATACCAAAAAAAAGGTTACTAAACATTTTTATACATAAAAATATGAACAAGATAAATTTATATACTTATGTGATATACTTAGTTATATACTTATATAATTTATAAATTATAAAGTGG